GCTTAACCGTTACAATGTATATTTTTAACTTTTTTCCATTGTGAAAAACTTTATAACAATAACAATTTTTAGCTCATTAATTTCAACTGATTATGACCCTATCAGACAAGGTAGAGTTTCCTCAGCATTTATAAGGCTTTAATATTGATTGAAACAGACTACGACATTTTTCTCTCTTGGGATAACTGATGATTTCTAGTTGCCAACCTTTCCTTTAGCAGTTGAACACTTAAACACTGTACCACCAGGGCACTTTAATGGGTTTATTATTTCATGGATCTGCAGTCTATTGTTTTCTTTGTCCTTCTAAACATTTTTTTTAAATTTTTTAAAAAAATTTTATTATTATTTTTTGTGCACGTATCATCAAATCAGATCTGTCCGGTACAGGAGGAATCAGATTGCCCCTCCATCTCCAGCAAAGCATCTGGTGGATTTGAACCGCTTACTTCTGGGATTGCAGTGCAGCTTCTTGCCACTAGGCCACCAGAGCTCCCTTCCCTTCTAAACATTTTTAATTGTGATTTGACTGTTAGTTTACAAAGCAAATTACTTTTTCATTCAACCTTTCATACACATTTTGTAACATTAATTTTAATACCTACAATATAAATGCACTTTTCCCATTTCTTCTTCATAATTCTGTTTTTTTTTGTGTTTTCTGATTGACACATAATAGAAAACATTTATTTCTTTCTACTCTGGATAAAAAAAGCTTGTTGTCAAACAAGTTGACTGACTTTTGTGGCTTTTATAAAAATTAATTTTAATGAAAGTTTACAGACTTTGCATTTCCATTCATTCATTGTTGCACTTTTCTCCCTGCCCAGTCTTCCTCCAAGTTCGCTCTTCTCTTTGAAAAGTTAAAAGAAAAAATCTTTCATTGTTATACAATTCCTCCCCCACCCAACTCCACTATGCAGCCTTCGTTCTGGACTCCTGTCATGACAATAATACCTTATCATACATTCCTTTTAAACAGTTCTCTCTCTCATCTGTTTTAATGCAGTATAATTTATTCCGTCTCTCTCAGTCTTCTCTCAACCCCTATGTCAGTCCCATTTTACAACGGTGGCACTATGCAGTATTTTCCTTTTGTGACTGGGATATTTCACTCAGCATAAAGTCCTCCAGGGTCACCCATTTTGAATAATATTTCATGAGTTCCTTGTTTTTTAATGCAGCATAGTATTCCATTGTGTGAATAAACCACAGCTTCTCTATCCATTCATTGATGGGCATTTAGGTTGTTTCCAATTCTTTATTATTGTGAACAAAGCCATGATACAAATGGGTGTGCATATATCTGCTTGGGTGGCAGTTATGATTTCTTTGGGGTATATTCCCAGTAGTGGAATTGCTGGGTCAAATGGTATTTCTATTTGCAACTTTTAAGAAAGTGCCACATCACATTTCACAGTGGTTGCACCATTTTACATTCCCACCAACAGTGACTTAAGGTTTCCAGTTTCTCCACAACCTCATCAGCATTTGTTGTTTGTTGTTCTTTTAAATCTTGCTATTCTTACTGGGGTGAGATGATATCTCATAGTTGTTTTGCATAATTTTGTTTTAAATAATCTTTTTATACCTTTTTTTTTTCTTCTTTGATGACATTGCTGGTCATTTTTTCCTTTCACATATCTTAATGTATGTTTATTATCTATATAGGGAGCTCTGGTAGCCTACTGGTATGGAGCTGCACTGCCAGCTCACAGATACTTGAGTTGAATCCACCAGCTACTCAGTGGGAGAAAGATGAGCAGTCTCCTCCCATGTGATTTATTGCCTCTGGAAACCTGTTGGAGGGTCAGCTATGAGTTGGTTCCAACTCAAAGGCAAATAGTTACCTGTTTACTAATTTGTATTCCCTTTTCCCTCCTTTCCCATCTCTGGTAACCATCCAACAATTCTTTATATGTATAAGTTTTTCTTTAGCTTTCTCTAAGAGTTGTTAATGTTTGTTGCCATCAAGTTAGAACTGACTCATGGCTGACCCTCTAGTGGGTTTTCAGAGGCTGTGATTCTCAAGGGAAGAGATTGCCCATGTTTCTCCTTTGGAACAGTTGGTGAATTTGAATAGCGTGTAATCTTATAAAATTGCCCTTTTGTGACTGACTTTTTTGATTCAGCATAACCTCCCTAGATGCATCCATGTTACATAGTGTTTATGGAAGTTTTTATTGTTTTTCAGTATTGTATAGTACTCCAATTTGTGATTGTACCATGATTTCTTTATCCATTTTTCCATTGGGTTGCTGCTGTATTTTTGTTATGGTAAATAATGGTGCAGTGAACAGAAATCTGTATCATAGCTCTTTTTATTTAGGATACATTTTGGTATTGGAATTGCTAGATCAAATTATATTTCTATTTCTAGTTTTCTGGGGAAGTGTCTAAGCTCCTTTGCATTGTGGTTTCATCTGCTTACATTCCCAATATGAGAATACTAATCTCTCCACATCCTCACCAGAATTTCTTTGCTCTCTTACTGAACTTTGCTGTTGCTACGGGGGTGAGATGATTAACACGTTGTTTTGATTTGTATCTATTTGGTAGCTAGTGAGCTTGAACATTTCTTTTTGTGTTGTTTATCTGAATGTCTTTAGAGAAATATCTTTCATGACCTCTGTCTGTTTTGTCTTTTTCTTCTTGAAGTGAGCTTTTTCTATAAATTTAGAGAAGTTTCTTTTCAGATTTGTCATTGCCAAATATTTTCCCCAGTCTCTGGGTTCTCTTTTGGAGAAATATTTTGGTACACATAGGGATTTAATTTTTAGAAGAGCTCAATTGTCTAGTTTATCTCCAACTAGGGTTTTTTGAAACTCTTTTTTAATATACATGAATTTTAGTTTGTGCTGTAAGTTGTCTATTTTTGCACTGTTCTCTTTTCATAAAAAATATTACAAGCACATTTCTTGTGGGTTTTTCTTTTTGTTTTGCTTTTCTCCTTTACAAGCATATTTTTTGTAAGATGCGATGATATTACACACAAGACATAAAGATGCACATTTTATGATTTTTCCATATTTATCTGTTGCAAAGATTGTGCTCCTAGTTTGTCAGGTGTTACCTTGGTTGTACTCTGGACTTGCTTGGACGGTCCAAGAGATGGGGAAGTTAGTCTTGGGTAGCCTATTTTATGAGATGGTCTACTTGAGTGCCCTGAGAACTCAGATGGGCTATATTTCCATAAGAATTACCATTAGCCCCTTTCATTTGATTTGGAGCTTCACAGATTAGTTAAGTAATCTCAGAAACTGTTCTTTGGTGTGGACCACTTTGGTCTCATTTAGTACATCTTTTCTCCTATAGAAGTAAAATAGCTTTATTGTTTAATTCTGATTATACAAATACGTTTTACTCATTTAGAAAACCATTACTAATTTGGTACTCAAAGCCTTGGCTAATGAAAGAAAAAAAAGTGAATGCAAATACACAAGTCTACAAGACTAGATGAACAGTGGGGATTCAAAAGCAGGGAAAGGAGTTAGAATATGTGCTAAGAAAATTAAATTTAGACACAAATGGATAATTAGGCAAATATTCATTGTCATAATTGACTCAAGAAGTTAAAAATAAATGGATTAAAGGAAACACCTACTCTTCAGTTTTTTTACCTTCTTACCCAACATTTACTATAGTAGTAAATACTAGTTTGTGTATTAACATGCATCTAGCAATAATAACATTTAGATCCTTGACTGGCTGACCCTGCCTACACTTAGAGAAGAGACTTGTAGTTCATAGCATTTATTTCACTGCCTGGAAGAGGCTTCCTTAAGTCACTGGGTGCAATTAGGGATTGGGTGGGATTGGATTTGGACTAACAATGTTGGAAAACTGTCCAGTAGGCTTTGAGTGTTGAGGCAGTGGCAGCAGATGCTGTACAGGTGGACTGTCATGGGCCTAGTGAGAAAGCAGGACCCAGATCTGGCCCCAGTTCCCATTCTCAAGTGGATCAGAAGGATCCCTGTGTTGTGCCCTTGGGTCCCAGGGGCCTCCCTGTAGGACCCCACATCAACTGACTGGCATCTGTGCAGCCCCTTTATGTTCCCTTTTGGTGGAAACAACAGAGTTGGTTGAGGGTAGGATGAACATGTGAGTGGCCAGTGGCAGTTGCAGTTTGAGGTCAAGGTCTTGGTTGACTTTCAAGGAAGCTCTGGATGCTGCCCAGCAAGAGCTTGGAGATGCTTGGACAAAGGACTAGCTGGGAGACCCAGGGGACAATCATCATCCCTCTGTGGTACCCAGGCCTTCCTGTTGGTAGATAGGGAGCCTCCCTGCCCTCACAGTGCCACCAGAGGCATTTGGGGGTTTTTAAGAGGATGAACTAAGGCTCCCCATTTGGAAAATACAGTAGTGATGTGGTCATCTTCCATTTTCCCATCATGACTCTTTTCACGTCTTTTGCAGAGTGAGTGTGTATATTTCTTGTTCAGTTTTCCTAAAGTAGAATCAGATAAGCTTTTGTTTGCTTCTTCAAGTAGAAAGTACAGCTTACAGTTATTTGTTTATTGGCTGAATTTTTATCTTCCCTTAGTACATGGAAGGCTTCATGAGGGCAGGAACTTTGTCTTCGTGTCTTTTTTTTTTGGTGTTGATTTGTTTCTCTAAGGGCTTAACTAGATATTCAGTAAATATTTATTTAAAGCATTAGTAAATGATAGAATTTGATTCTGAGAGCAATTGTTTTGAGGTTCTCAGGGAGCCCCTTACAGGTGAGTCATGGTAAGCTTTGAGATAGGTTCTTATTGTGATTTCAGGATGCTGAATAATAATAATAATAGGAGGAACCAGTGGAAGGCACGCCTGTCTTAGAATGAGGCAGAGTGAGAGGGCGGTGACAAGGTTTTGTGGAGCTTTGTGTTTTGAATAATGCCTGTTTGTCTCTTCTGTGTAGTGAGTGATGCTACACTCTGGGCAGACTTTGCCTAAGTTTCATAAATATTTAATTGGCTTTTTCAGGAGAATAAAGGCAGCCCCGTTGATGACTGAAAATGACAAAGCATCCACCTAACAGACGAGGAATCAGCTTTGAAGTGGGAGCCCAGTTGGAAGCCCGGGATCGATTAAAAAACTGGTACTTTTACATTTTTCTGTTAATTAAAGCCCTTCAGTAAAGGATTGTTGTCAGCATTGCTAAAGAGTAGTAGGCTAGGCTTCTCGTAGGTGTTTCTTGCTCATTGAGTCTTGGAAAATGGAGAGAGACTTCATTCTAGAGCTTTAGAGTGCCCTTTCTCTTTGGTGCATGGATCCCTGTGTTCATAGTTGTTTCCCATTTTTCTGCCTGTGCCTCTGATGCAGAAAGAAACATGAGTGGTTACAGGTAGGGAGGAGTTAAGTAGCAGCATTCTTGCTCTTGGCTGTGTCAGGAATCAGAGAGGGAAAAAGAACAGGGATGTGAGAATGAAGGAAAGGGCTCCTCTGTTGTGAACAATCCCTCCTGTTTCCTTAGGTGTGTTATAGTATGGTTGAAATGCAGGCATCACGAAAGGACACTTTGGGGTGATTGGATTCTGGAGCTGAGGGGTGGCTGTATTCCAGACTTTGTCATTGATCTGACTACTTATTATTAGCTGCTTTGAATATCAGCATCATTTATTGAATAGGGGTGCTAGCAATTTCAATCTTATGGTTGTTTGGAGAAACAAATAATAAAGCTATGTGAGAGAAAGCCTTTTAATCTGGGGATTATGATTGTTGTTGAGAACGTTCTAGAATTTGGTCATTTGTCAGTGCTCAGTGTAAGGATGGGGCTGCAGAATTCAAGCTTTTTTGAATTTTCATAAGGAACCGGATAGGTTTCTTGGAGTGATTGCAAAAAATTAGGCTGACCAGTTCTGGGATGTAGGAAGAAAGGATGAGGAGAGTCAGTTAAGTGGGTGGGGCAGAAAACTGTTTCTTTGATGCCCTTTGGAGCTGGAAATTTTTTTTTTTTAAATTTAGGTTGTTTATTTTTCATTTCAGTGTGGAGCTGGAAATTTTTTTTTTTTTTTACAGTTTTATAACTTTATTTGACAATCAGCTATTAGTTTTCATCCACATTGACTGTCTGTAGATTTTTGAAAGTGGTGACAGGTACATAGGTAACCAGTGTATACAGCTTGTTTGAGGAATCTTCATCCTCATTACATTTTCTGGACAACCGTACACGGATGCGGTATGGGACATTCCTTATTCCTTTGGCCCAGACAGCTTTGTTAAGCCTGGTGTCAATGCGAACATCTGGTGTGCCCATCTCCTTCATGGCAAATTTCCTGATCTCCTTTAGTGCCCGAGGAGCACGCTTCTTAAATCCCACTCCATGGATGCGCTTGTGAATGTTGATGGTGTACTCTCTGGTCACCACTTCGTTGATGGCAGAACGGCCTTTCTTCTTCTCACCACCCTTCTTTGCGGGGGCCATAGTGCCGGAACAAAGCTGGAAAGGACGAGCTGGAAATTTTAATCTTAGAGATTATTTGAACACTTAGTTGTATTTAGAGCATTTTATTTGTAATTATTTCCTTTTTTGTTGCATTTTGTAAGTCAGCTTTTAGTGCTAGGCAGTTAAAAGAAATTTTATTTTTTTGTTGTAATTTGGAAAAAAGATTAAAATACAGAAAAACACAGATAATAAAATATTAATAATATGACCGTTCTATTTTATTTATATTTTTTGAAAAAGAAAAAAAAATATAAAAGAGAGCACTTCTAACATAGAAGAAATATCCTTACTGACCTTCTGAATTTTATTTCCCTCATTCTGTAGAGACAGTTCCATATATATGGTAGTAGTTGGTTGTAGTAGTTGGTTATATCCCTTCTGGACATTTTCCATTTTGGTATATATTATGAATTAATCTATAATAATCTTGAGGTTTTTTTTAAAAAAAACATATAAATTGCATGTCAGCAGTCAAGAATAAGAACTGAATAGTGAAGTGGATTAGGGGGCATTGTACAACAATGAAAGAATTTTTTTGCAAAGAGAAAAGCAGACTGGAGGGAGTGGGCAGGGAGGAAAATGTGCAACAATGAATGAATGGAAATCCAGATTCTCTGTAAACTCATTAAAATATCAATTAAAAAACTCCAAACATATAAATCATATACTATTTATGTTTTTCTGTATCTTTTTTTAGTACTTGACTTTATGATTTATCCTTTTTGGTATAGGAGGTATTCACTTAAATTCACATCAATAAGGGACTAGATAAGTAAAATTCTGTATAGAGTTGTATTTTATGAAAATACTGTATTTTACTTATCTAGTCCCTTATTGATGGACATTTTGATTTGTAGTTTTTCAGAGTACTTCTGTAAATACCTCTTCAATATCTCTTGTGTACATGTGCAGGGATATTTCTTGGGCAGTATTTTTAAAATTTTTTGACCACAACTCAACAGTAAGAAACATTTTAAGTCCAATATAGTAACCACTCTGGTATGCATATAAATTTATCTGAAGCAGAAGTTTATTAAGTAATACTGGAATACTTGCATTGTACTCTGATAATTCTACCACCCCCTTAAACACATACACACATATTAAAAAGTATTTCTTATATTTTACAACCTGCTAATGGTTCAGGAAGGGAGCTTTGGTGGCTTAATAGTGGGGAGTTGTGCTTCCAACCTGAAGGCATGCTGTTAGAATCACTCATCTATGCATTCTCCTCCTGTGCATTCTCTTTTGAGAATCCTGCTATTTACAACCTCTGAAAGGCTGAGTCAGTTCAGATTTGAAGGGCATAGAACAACAATGGTTTAGAAACTGCATTTGATAAGCTCTTCCCCAAAAAGTAATGTTGCTGTGTCTTATCAACCATCCACGTAGTTTTTAGAATCAGAAGCAATTTAATCACAAGAGAGGAGATGTTCATATTTCTCCCTTGGAACACCTGGTGGATTTGAACCACTACTTTTTTGAGACGGCAGCACAGCTCCTTGCCACCAGAGCTCCCTAAAGTAATATAAACATTTTAAATTTTATTGGAAATTGCCAAGTTGTTCTCCAAAAATTTTTTTTAATTTATAGCCTCATGAGTAGACAGGAAGATTGCTGTTTCTCCATATCCTTACCAATCCTTGCCTTTGACAGACTTTTTGGTTTTTGTCAGTCTGTTGGCTGTGAAATTTTATTGTTATTTTATTGTGCATTACTATTTATTTATTTTTTTCCTTGTTGTGTACCATTGAATCAGATCCTACTGGCACAGGAGGAGATTGCCCCTCCTTCTCCAGTGGAGCATCTGGTGGATTCGAAGTGCGTGCCTTCGGGATTACAGCTCCACTTCTTGCCACTAGGCCACCAGAGAGCCCTTTATTGTGCGTTACTTTTGTTGTATCTTTTTAGACGTGTTCTGTGACATGCCCTTGATATTTTTGTATTGGATTACTTCTTTTCTTACTGAACTGCAGATGTGTTTAAATAATGTATCATAGATTCCAATTCTTTTTCTGTTTATGTTGAACAGTATAGAAGTTGTCTTTTCCTTTATATATGGTACCTTTCCTTGTATAGAAATCTTTTTTTTTTCTTTTTCTTGTGTAAGCTTTAAGTTTTAAATTTAAAAATACTAGCAAATATTATGGGTTTTGTTCTTTGTGACTTGAGTATGCATTTTTCTCTATCACTTAGTTACATGGGATGATTTTGGTGTAGTTAGTATTCTTTTTCATCTTTTGAGTAACTACTTGCTGCAGTCATTTGTGAAATGACTACAAAGTCCAGAAGCAATACTAGCTGAGTGTACAGCTGATAGCTTTATTTAAAATGTACACTTCAGTGTAAGCGGCTGAGGTTCAAGATCACTTCAGTTCTGAGCAAAGAATAGAATATTTATCCATTAGGAGTCACAGCACTTTAAAGGGCTTGGGAACATTTTCCATCTTTCCATCACACTTTGTTTTAGCTATAAAGTACCTCCTGGGCTTGGGTCATGCATTAATCAGGTTATTTACTATTTCCTGAAACACACAGGTGTATTCAGGTAGGGTTGAGAAGGTCAGCAAGATGGAATCACTTTGGTTTCAACCAACCTAGTGATTTATGTAATAGTCCATCCTTCCTCAGCTGCTGTCCAGTGTATTCCATGTTTGCATGAATTTATTCTGAGTTCTAAAGTCTTTCACTGATTTATGTTTAGTCCAGTGCCAATAATAACACATTATTAAGTTGATATGACTTTAAAATAAATTCTGTTATCAAGACATGTTTTTCCTATTTGTATTTTGCTTTATTTGGGTGACTGTTTTTAGATCTTTACTCTTCATTGTGAGTTTTTGCATTTATTAGATTTCTTTAAAAATGCTATTGCAAAAAATAAAATAATTTTTTAAAAAACCTTAAAAAAGAAAACATGTAGTTTTCAAATGAATTGTACTGAATTTATAAGATTTGAGGAAATTGGCATCTTTAGGATGGTATTTCCATTCATGAAACTATTAGACATTGTGTTTATTTACAGTTTCTCTTATGATTTTCAACAATGTTGTATAGCCTTCATAAAAGAGGTTACTTACCTTGTCCTGAAAACTGATAAAGTCAGTGTAATTCAGCTGTACCACCTCTGTTCCAACACCAGGTGCAGATGCAGCACTTCTTTCACTGACTTTTAACTATCCAGAGCCAGCTAATTTTTCATAAGAGAAGAAGGTCTGTAGTCCTTTAGACTGCCAGATCTCCCCAAGACTTTGAATGTTGGCTCCTTGATGTTTATGACAGCCTCACCTCTGACCTAAACCCGAAAACCAAACCAGTTGTTGCAAAGTGAATTTCCTCACGTGTAACTGAATAGAATTGTTCCGTAAGTTTTTTTGGCTGTAATCTTTCTGAAAGCAGATTGGCAGATCTTTTCTTATAAATTGTCTAAAGACTATCAACGCGTGAAATAATAATCATAGGTTTCCCTTTCCTCTCTCAAGATGCTAACTATAAGCTTAAGTTTTTCCTTCTGACCTGCTGCTTTCCTCTCTCCCCTGCTTTCTTGGGTTTGATAATAAACTTACAGAACCCTTGAGAAGTACTGTGCTTAGTACAGTTTTAGAGAAGTTTCTACAAAGGAGCTATAAAGATGTTTAGGTTGACTTCTAGGA